CTCCTCCTCGTCCTCCTCCTCCTCCTCCTCCTCCTCCTCCTCCTCCTCCCAGTGTCTCCCAGACTCTTCAGTTGGCTCCCTCCTCTCCTCCGCCTGCAGCTTGGGTTCGCGCGCAGGAGCGAGCCGCGACGCGGTGGCCATGCGCTCCAGGTTCGGGGCTGGCCTGCCGGCGTTCCAGAGGCAGCAGTGGGCGAAGATGCAGAGTTGGCGCCTGCACTTCCCGCACACAGGGAATCAGCAGGCGTGGGCGGATGCCATGCCGGAGAGCGTGCGGCACGTGTGCGGGCACGTGCAGGGCCCCTTGCTCGACGCCTTGCTCCGGGCTGTGCGCCACGACGACGCAACGCTCTCAGCTGACCTGCAGGGCGGCTTCCATGCGGTCGGGGACATCCCGCCGTCTGGGACATGGGCGCCTCGGGTGGAAGCAGCTCCAGTTTCGTTAGCATCGATCTTGGAGGCGGCCCGGCGCCGCCAGGAGGAGGGCCGCATCAACCTTGCCAGCGAGCATCGGGCAGAGCTGCGGCACTCCGACCACGAGCAGGTGGCAAAGGGGCGGCTGGAGATCGTCCGCGGCCGCTCCGTACCTCACATCATCGACAAGCTCCGGCAGAACTTCGGGGACTTCGTTGATCTCCTCTTCTTCGGGGTGGCGCAGGGCGACAAAATCAGAGGATGTCAGGGGTCTCGCGCGGGCGGCGTCGCATCCGCGACGCGCCTCAACGAGAAAATGCACATGATGGGCGTCGATGGAGTCATGGCGCTCGCCCGGGCGGCGGCCGCGGTGCACCTGCGAGTTCCTCTTGCATTGGCCAAGGTACATTGGCGGGAAATGTTCTACCAAGCCGGCCTGAGACCGGAGCGCCGCAGGTATTTCGTCTCATTCGTTGTGGACGTAGAGGCGCAAGAGACCGTAGCGGTCGTGCCACAACAATGCTCTCGGCTGCCCCGCGCAGTCGCAGTCGTTGCGAGACGCTTCTTCGGCATCCTGTGTGACCACCACGCAGACGACGTGGTCCACTGCGCCCCGGTGCATCTCGCAGACGCGGAGTTCCAGCTGCTCTGCGACCTGTTCCTCCTCCTCCTCCTCCTCCTCCTCCTCCTCCTCCTCCTCCTCCTGCCCGAGGAGGAGGAGGAGGAGGAGGCGGACCCCGAAGACAAGTTCTTCGGCCCCCGTGCAGACGGCGCGCTGCTGGGCGCCGGGTCCCACCTGCCGCCGCCGAGGGGCACCCCGCAAGACGTGCTCATCCTCTGGGGCGCTCCAGCTGAAAAAGCACAGCGGCATTCAGCCGAGCTCCTTGATGCGCGGGGGTGCTGCTCACCCGGCGCCGCGTCGAAGCTGGCGGGCCGCCCCGCGTGGACGTTCTCCCGGTCGTGGGGCAAGAGCGGCGGCATCTTCCTGCGCGTCCTGTACGACCGGGCGCACGGGGGGAGCTCCGTGACCAGTCGCAGGTTCCGCATGTCCATCGACGGCCTCGAGGACATGCTCGCGAGCCCCGAGGACGTCCTTCGACGGCCGGTGCTCCGCTCGCCGCAGGCGCGGCCGCGCTGCATCTCAGTCGGCGACGCGAGGGGCCGTGGCGAGCCCTACGGCACCGAGGCCCTCGGGGCAATTCTGTTCGATTGGCGCTTCCCGCGGCCTGAATTCTTCTCCCTGCCCGTAAGCAGGGCTTTGGAGAGGTTTCTGCCAGCCGCTCGCCGGCAGCGCATCAACGAGGCGGAAGCCCTCTGGGCGCGGCTGGCCGCGAGGACATGGCGCACCAGCCTGCAGGACGCTGACATCACCGTCGTCGCCGACAGCTCGGCCGCGGAGGGCGTCCTGCGCAAGGGCATGAGCGGCTCTGCGACGCTCTGCTGCCTCAACGCGGAGGTCTGGCGCGAGGTCCGGGCGCCGCGCGCGCGCGCTTGTGGACCATCCGCGTTCCGTCGGAGGAGAACCCCGCGGACCCGCTGAGTCGCCTCGACACATCGGCTGCTGCCTCGCTCGGCTGGCGCCGGGTAGCCTCGCCGAGCGTGCCCGCGCAGTGGCACCTCGACCCGGCGGTCTGGGGTCGGTGACAGCCCGCGCGGGCTTCATCTCAGTGGGGCAGGGTCGCTCGCGGCTTCCCCTCTCCTGTCTCCGGGGCAGGGCTCGCGCCTCCTCGGTCCTCCTGCCAGGGCGGGGCCTGCGGGCGCCCCCAGGGCGTTGCAGGGCAGGGCGCGCGCCTCCCTGGTCTTCTGCGCGGGGCGGGGCGCGCGCGCCCCCGTTGCTACCTTGCGAGGTTCGGCCTGCGCCGCTTCGTGCCTGTCAACCTGCAGCCGCTTTTCGGACGAGGCCACCCGCCCGAACGGCCTCGAGCAGCAGAGTTGCACCATAATTATGATGATGAACATCTTTACGGAGCACAGGTATACAACATCATCACCGTCGCCCGCGTCTTCATCGGCATCATCGTCGTCATATTCGTTCCGTTCGCCCCCCTCTCCTTCATCTCTTTCGGGGCGTCTGGGGGCCCATAGACCGAGCTGGAAAGAGTCGCAGACGTGGCCAGCGCGCCTCGTCAGCTTGCCCGGCAAGACAGGCGGGGACCTCGTCGCCATTTTCTCCCTCGCGGCTCAGGGCCTGGACCGGCTTTTCCTCGCGAGCCGTTCTATGCAGGCCCCTGGGGCCCGGAGAGGGCCGCCCCGAACTTCCCGCACGGCTTTCCGGTGCCCGGTGGTGCCCAGGGGTTTCCCTGAGCGCACGTCCGAACCGACCATACCTATATATATATATATATATATATATATGTGTATATATATACACATATACATGTATACACATAGTTGGGTAATGTACATCTATACACACATATATACAATACATATATATATGCACTTGGAAACCTACAACGATACATCCATGCATGCGTGCATACATACATACATGCATACATGCAGAAAGGCAGACAGACATACAGACATACATGCACAGATAAATACGTACATACATACATGCTGCCATTCATTCATTCATTCATTCATTCATACATACATACATGCATGCGATAATGCACACATACATGCATAAATGCATACATACATACATACACACAGACGTACACTCATACAAACAAACAAACAAACAAACAAACAAACAAACATACATACATACATACATACACACGTACATACATACATGTAATGTACACACATGATCATGAGCATCGGCATCTCATCATCAGCGTGGTCGTAGATTTCGTCGTCAGCATCATCAAAACCATCACGATCACCACCATCATTATCATCATCAGCAGCAGCAGCACCACCACCACCACCACCACCATCATCATCATCATCATCATCATCATCATCATCATCATCATCATCATCATCATTGTCACCTTCGTCATCATCATCGTCATCATCAGCATCTTGTGGGGTTTCTAGGAAAGTACTCGAGGGCCCATGCGAGTCCTGCTTGACGGACGCTTTGGGACAGATGTTGCGTGCGGGGAGCGGAAGCCTGAGGAATCATGTTATCGGAGAGATTTCTGGTAACATGATGGTGTGTATGAGGGCCTATTGGGGAGCTGCCCGGCAAACATTTTCGGACACATGGATGGGGCCGGGGGCGGAAGCCTGAGGAATCATGTTCCCGCAAGGCTTCCAGGGAATATGATTTGTTGGGGTGTCGTTGGGCGCCTCCGGAGGCTTCGGGGCCTGACGCGTTTCCGAGCGTGGCGGCAGGTAGCGCTGCTTGGGACTCTCGTTTTTTTTCCAGGCAGGCGTTTAAGGAACATGGTTTGGGCAAAGGGCGGCAACCCGAGAATCATGTTCCCGGGAAGCTTTCCGGGAGCATGATTTGTTCGGTTCTCTTAAGAGGGGAGTCTCTGGGGGCTTACCGAGGGGCCGTTTTTCGCCTTGTCGGCAAGCCTATTGGAAACAAAGTTGGGGTGGTGGGCGGAAGCCCAAGGAATCATGTTCCCGGAAAGCTGTCTGGGAAATGCGATTTACCGAGGTGTCTTGGGGGCCCGCAGGGGGCTTCCCTGGGGGCCCCTTGGGGCCCTATTGGAGCTTCCCGGGGCCTCTTGGGAGCTTCACGGGGCTTCTTGGGAGCCTCTTGATGGCCAGGGGCGTCCTGGGAGCCTCTCAGGCCAGAGACATTGAAATGTCGCGCTCTTCGGGCCCTCTTGGGTCGCTCTTGGGGCTCTCTTGGGGCGCTCTCGAGGCCCTCCTGAATTATCTGGTGGGCCTCCTGGGCCGTCTCTGGACTTTCTTGGGAGCCTCTTCGGCAGTCTTGGAGCGATCTGAAGGGCCTCCGACGCCGTCCAGGACCGTGGGGAGGCGGAACATGCGAGAGCGCAAATATGCTTCAAACAACATCGGAACATAAATGATTTTCGGATTCTGGGGCCCTTTGGATTGGCCTCTGGAGGCGCTCTTGGGGCGATTTGGCGGCGTTGTCGGCCGTCCTGAGGCCATCTTCGGCGTGTCCGGGGCCTCTTGGGGCTGTCTTGGCAATCTTTACGGCCCTCTTGGCGTGTCGTGGCGACTTTGGGAGCGAGCCCGGGCAGTCCCGGGAGCCCTGGGACCCCCCAATACACTCATGGGGGGGTACGGCACCGGCCTGGGCCCCCCCCCGGCCTACTCCCGTTTGCGCGACGGCGTCTGCGTGGCGCGGCGTGAACGCAATTTGACGGAGAAGAACCGACGACGACGACGACGACGACGACGACGACGACGACGACGACGACGACGACGCCCACGCAATGACGACGACGACGACGACGGCAAGCGGTAAGGCGTGGATCCTCGCCCCCCCGAAGCAGATGTTTCCGGAGGCCCTTCCGGGAACATCTCCCGGAACAGCCGAGGCCCGAGAGGTTTGCGCGACGGCGTCTGCGTAGCGCGGCGCGAACGCAACTTGACGGAGGGGGCGGGGGTGGCGCTCGTGTTGGGGCCTCTTGGGGTCTTTTGGTGGCTTCGTGTGGACCTCCTCGGGGCCTCTGAGGGGCCTCCTTGGCGCGTCTTGGGGCTCTCTCGGGCCTCCTGGGAAGCTTTCAGGGCGGAAATGTAAAATTCTGACTGTTTGTTCCCCCTCGTGGGCCCCTCTGGAACCCTTCTCGGGGCCCTCTTGGGCTTTCCAGGGCCCTCTGGGGCGCCTCTGGGGCTGTCTTGGGGCTGACCAGGGCCGTCTTCAGGCCGTCTGGGGGGCCTCTCGGGCAGTCTTGGGGCGCTCTTGAGGACCTGTTGGGCCTTGTTCGAGCATCGGAAAAGTGAAAAGGCGATTTTACGAAGAGGAATGGGCCGATTTTTGCCTCTCGAAGCCCTCTTGGGGCCCTCTTCGACCATCTTCAAGCCATCTCGGTCCCTCTGGGGCCTCGCTGAGGCTGTCTTGTGGGCCTCTCGGGCGTCCTGGGAACCCGGAAATCATGTTCCCAGAGAGGCTTCCGGGAACATGATTTCGAACGAGGCTCTCTTGGGCCTCCCTGAAGCCGTCTTGGGGGCCTCCTGGGCCGGCTTCGGGGCCTCTTGGGCCGTCTTGGGAGGTTCCGTGAGTCCCACAAGACGACCCTTTCGGGCCGTCTTGGGCCCTCTTGGGTCTCTCTTGGGCCGTCTTGGGGCTCCTCGGGGTCATCTGGGGCATTGTGAAGACGAAGCAAGCGAGTACGCTGAAAACGCACGTTTTACAAAAGGAATGGGCCGATGTTTACCTCTTGAAGGCCCTCTTGGGGCCCTCTTCAGCCACCTTCACGCCATCTCGGGCCCTCTCGGGCCTCGCTGAGGCTGTCTTGTGGGCCTCTTGGGCGTCCTCGGAACCCAGAAATCATGTTCCCGGAGAGGCTTCCGGAAAGATGATTTCGAACGAGGTCCTCTTGGGCCTCCCTGAGGCCGTCTTGGGGGCCTCCTGGGCCAGCTTTGGGGTTTCTTGGCCCGTCTCGGGGGGTTCCGTGAGCCCAACAGGCCGACCCTTTTTGGCCGTCTGCGGCGCTCTTGGGTGGCGTCTGGGGCACTGTGAAGACGAAGCCAGCGAGGGCCCACCCGGCCTACTCCGAGATATATATATATAATATATATAGATATTATATATATATATATATGTATATATATATACATACATATGTTCAGAGGAAGAGAGAGAGAGAGAGAGAAAAACAAAAAGACATATCATAAACAAGTATAGAACGAGAGACCGAGAGACCGAGAGAACGAGAGAACGAGAGAGAGAGAGAGTGGGGTGCAGAGCTCCTGGCGGAGCACGCGGGTGGCCAGGCGTCCCTGCTTGTAGAGCTTCAGCTCCTCCTTCGGGTCCCAGCCCGCGAAATGGGAGTGCAACTCTTCGGCGGCCTCGCCAGCGCAAGGACCCCCCCCCCTTGTGGCAGCAACTGGGTCGTCGTCGTCGTTGTCGTCGTCGCCGTCGCCATCGCCGTCGTCGTCGGAAGAGGAGGAGGAGGGAGGAGGAGGAGAGGAGGAGGAGGAGAGGAGGAGGAGGAGGAGCGAGGAGGAGGGAGGAGTAGTGAGGAGGAGGAGGAGGAGGAGGAGGAGGGAGGAGGAGGAGGAGGGAGGAGGAGGAGGAGGGAGGAGGAGGAGGGAGGAGGAGGAGGAGGAGGAGGAGCGAGTAGTGAGGAGGAGGAGGAGGAGGAGGAGGAGGGAGGAGGAGGAGGATGAGGAGGAGGAGGAGGAGGATGAGGATGAGGATGAGGAGGGATGAGGATGAGGAGAGGAGGAGGAGGAGGAGGAGGAGGAGGAGGAGGAGGAGGAGGAGGAGCGAGGAGTAGTGAGGAGGGGGGTGGGAGAGAAGAGCGAGGAGTAGTGAGGGAGGGGTGGAGGTGGAGGAGGAGGAGGAGGAGGAGGGAGGAGGAGGAGGAGGAGGAGGAGGAGGAGGAGCGAGGAGTGGTGAGGAGGAGGAGGTGGGGGAGGAGGAGCGAGGAGTAGTGAGGAGGATGTGGAGGTGGAGGAGGAGGAGGAGGAGGAGGAGGAGGAGGAGGAGGAGGAGGAGGAGGAGGAGGAGGAGGAGGAGCGAGGAGTAGTGAGGAGGAGGAGGTGGGGGAGGATGAGCGAGGAGTAGTGAGGAGGAGGCGGAGGAGGAGGAGGAG